ACTCACAAAGTACCCAGCAAAAGTACTTCATTTTATTTCTGGTAGAAGTCAAACTAGAACCGAGTCCAACAGTGTCAGTTTTCTTAAGAACTTGTGGTAACAAATATTTGTATCACTCGTCAAATATAGCAGGAATAATGAAGAGCAGCTGATTTGAAAAAACAAACTCGAGAGACGGCTGAGTGACCGCAGTGCAGAACCGCTGTATAGTTTAAATCTCCTAACAATGTTGTCCATTTTAGACATATGCTTATTATATTTACAGCCCTTAATAACATTGATTTTCTGGGCTCAATATGTGTCTTGGCCGTTTTCGTTGTGATCGCTAAATTCATCTTGTTTCCCTTTGTTTATAATATTATCACCGCTTTTGTTTTGAAATCACTTCCGTGAGTTTCGCCCCGCCCCTCGCTCCAGACCATTGAGTAAGGTAAAACGAAAAAAACAAAAAGGCCTCTCAAATGCTCTTCCGTTTACGTGTTTAATAAAGAAAAACAATTGGACGGTAAATACACGGATTGTAAAAGTTTCGCTTATTCTTTAAAATTCCTTAAAACTATGATTGTGAAATAGTAATATAAAAAATAATTGAGAGGCGAAGTCCCTCCCCTTCCGAAAGCCTCCATGGGACCCCGGAAGCGGAAAATTATACATTGAAGTCAATGGAGAGAGAAAGGTTATCTTTTGATCCCGTTTGAATTGTGCCACGAATGACACATATGATGTTTGTCAATTTAAAAGAACATTTTGCAAGTCAAAAAAATAAAAATGTGTCGTAAAACTGTGAAGTTACACATTTTTTTGTGTGAAACCGCTCAGTGAACTACAGGTCTCTGGTCTCGCACAATACGCGTCACCAACATAAAGATGGCCGTCACGTTAGCACATTTCACCACATTCTTTCAGAATGAGAATAACATTATTTTACGAGGTGAACTACAAGTCTGGGCACGTTGAGAGCCAGCATGCGGGACCGGCTTTACAAGGTTTCGGTGAGTAATATGAGTGCAATGTTTAACGTTAATATCAGCTAGCTAACATTAGCTAACAAGGTACACTAACGTGTTTTGTTTTAGCAACTAGTTTTCTCCTTAAGAACTTCGTGGTCTCTGTGTATGCTGGGGATAACATTAGTGTTCACAAGAACAAGGTACACTCCCGTGTTTTGTTTTAGTTGCTCTTCAGATTGAAGCGGCCAGTTTTATATCGACTATACTGTATGTGTGATCTCCTTTTTCTCGTTGTGTCATTTGAGTTTATTTGCTGTGTGTAGATTCAAGGATTTTGGTTATCTAGGCACAGCTGTGTGTGACTCCCTCTGGTACACCGGTATGTGTTTTCCTAATGTAGAGAGCATTGATTAATTAATAAACTACACACTGAGTCTAGATCCTGACCAAATCCTTTTTTATTGTTGATCAAATGTTTTTCAAAAATGTATTCATACACATTTAGAAAAATACAATGTACAATCACAACCAATACAACATAAATTACAAAAAATACAGAAAAAACAAACAATAACAACAGACAAGAGGACAACACTATGGAAAAATAAACCCTCCCACCCCCAGATCCGGACCATCCTTGTATTATTGCTCATTCAATCTATTATAGCATGCTAACAAATGGTACTTACTTTATTTTTACAGATCTGCATGGGAGACGATGGCGCGATGCAGAGCGCTGTCTGTGATTGTGCACAGGGGATGTACAAATGCAGCCACGCTGCAGCATTGGCAATATTTGCCATGTGGCAGATCAGCTCCACAGATGTTGAGTGCTAGTGGAGGAAGCCTGGCACTTAAAAAGTAGTCCAGCCGGTGTCTCAACTTTACCAACAGCGAGAGGAGACATACAACCCACTGGCCAGAGACATCGCCAACTGTCAACTGGGGGGTTGTAAACGAAGCCGAAGGGGTGAAGGCTTTTGTGGAGGCTTTTGTGGAGGCCTATCAAGTGACAGTGTTCGAATCGAGTCTGGTCTCTTTGTGAGTGAGTCGGGTGTTTTGGGAGCATCACCCGATGGACTTGTGCAGCCATCTGCCCTGCTGGAGGTGAAGTGTCCACACAGCCAGAGGAACATGACCATCGCGGAGGCAGTCCAGTTACCATCCTTCTGTCTCCGTGCGGAGGGTGGGTCATATATTCTCAAGGAGAATCACCCATACTAGCACCAGGTCCAAGGGCAGCTGCATATCACAGACCGGAGTCTCTGCTACTTTGTTGTGTGGACCACGAAGGAGGCGATCATCATCCCCATCCCCAAAGACCCTGCATGGCATGGAAAACTCCTCCTCCTGGAACAATTCTACACCCAGCATATGCTCCCTGTGTTGGCCAGTAGAGAGGAGGACATTTCAATAAACATACTCTTAACACCCTCGGACTCTGCGTTGTGTTTCGTATGTGTGATGGGGTGTTATGCAGAGGGGAGGAAAACAGGACACAGCAGATTGGGATTGTGGTGGAGATGCTGAGCAGTTATTTAATTGTTGCATGTAATTATTATTATACTGCGTGCTTCTGAGTTATTCCATCTTTTGCTGTAACATGGATCTGTATGTAACTCTATATTTACTTGTTATCTAACACACTTCCTTCTACATCATACACCATCATTATACATGATGGTGTATATAGGATATATATATTTGTATACATATCTGTAAATTGTATAATTTTATTTAAACGTCTTTTTGATCTCTCAAACTGAGTAAGATTGACAATAAAGTTGACTTTGAAAAATATATATATATTCTTTATGAAAATAGTTGACTGTTGTCAAATGAATCCAAATGAAACGTTGGACTGAACTACAACTACGCCTTTAAATCTCTACGGACTGTTTTTCAGTGGGATGGCAATTTCCTATCTTTAAACATTTATTAGTTTTTTCTCAGAACAGATTTGATTTTCTGAAGTTAATTTAACTTTGCCGACCATGTAAGGTCATCATTAAAAGGTACAATCAATTTGTTTATGGTTGACTAAAATAATGAAAAACATTCATTTGGATAATTTACTGACAGAATAAGAAACTCAATGATGCTCTACTTACCTGTTCCTTTTTTACAAAGTGAAACAGTTGAAACGATAGATTTTAGTAAACTTAAAAACAACCTTCTCCAAAAGCTATCAAGGAATATACCGAATACTTGTTTTAGAACTTTATTACATATTTGTATATAAATAGTTTGAATGATCCATAATTGACAGAAGCTTGTGTTTACACTGACCTGTTACTCATATATTAATGTCTTTGTAACTTCGGTAAACCACTACCTCACTAATTTCTTTCATTCATCACGGTTCAGTAAACTAAGTGATACATGAACCAGTTTAATCATTATAATAACGTAGGATTGCAACTCTTTGAAAATGTAGGTGGCTCTTAAAAGAGCTGTTGTGTTTGGGTGTGCTGGTCTCAGGTCAGTCTAAGCCCTCTCTCCACGGATGCGGCGGGCCAGCTGGATGTCCTTGGGCATGATGGTGACCCTCTTTGCTTGGTTCATCTTACTGGGGGGCAGCTACATGGATGTCGGTGCAGTCCACAATCATTGCGCAGTTGAAGGCAGAATGAATTTATTATTGACTCCGAATGAAGCACAACTTCATGTCATACAATACAATGACTTTATTTGTAATTGTGTAAAAACATATGAGCATTGATTAGCAAGCAGGACCTGCAGGAACAGAGAACGGTGATGGATGGAGCTGGGAAGAGAGAAGAATAAAGAAAACAGATCAACTTTATTATCGGATATTAAAAATTCAATTTCAAAACAAGTTGCCGCTCCTACAGTTTTCTAGTATGTAAAGATGATTTCACATGACCTATGCAAAATATCACACTCAATACATGTGTGTCTCTGGGGGGTGCATTGTGCCTTTGATGTATATGAATAATATACCATAACCAAATACTATTACGTACAGTGGAAATCAGGTTGCCAGAGCAGGTCAGTGTGCATGTTCCTCAACGTCTCAGCAGTTACAGGTGAGGTAAAGAAAATAAAAGAGAAAAAGGTCAGTAACAACACTTTAAAGTAACAACACTTTGAATAATTATCTCTTCTAACAATTTTCTCTCAATAAGCACACAACGACTGTCTTTCCAACAAACAGATTGTCATCACAATGAAACACGTCCAGAAGAATGTCATGCAAAGCTCCCTGCCTGCCTTCGACTCTCCCTGAACTGCTTCCTTAGCACCCGGTGGAGGGCGCAGTAGGCTACTCTTCAAATGTTTCACGAAATACTTACCATCATGTTTGGTTACTGTTTAACATTTTGGTTTACTTCATGTAATAAAATAATAACTTCATGGTAAGGCTACTAAAAATGACAAGGCTAAGTAATGTAATGCTAACTAACGTGCTCGCTACTCGTCGCTACTAGCTAGGTATCTAACTTGACTATGTTCCATGCACAACATGTATATTACCTATGATATTACCTGATATATCTGATCCAGCGACTCCTGGTCCTTTCATCAGACGGGAATCGATAGAAGGAGCAAGTGGTATGATCACTTTTATGACTACAACCTGGTACAAAGCACACAGGCATCTTGTAAAAGTGAATTTATTTTTAGCGATCTATAATTTATTGGACGGAATAAATCAGTTATGAGATCTTCTTCTTCTTCGCTTTAATTACGAGTCTTTTATAAATCACCGAGCATGCCTGTGACATCACTTACGCGACCCAGAATGGGATTTGGGATTTGTAGTCTTTGTAGTAGCGTATTATTCATAGTCTTATATTTCAGCAGTTTTACGACAAAATGTGACTTTTTTGACATGGAAATGATTGTTTACGATTGACAAACATCATATGTGTAGTTCGTGGCACAATTCAAACGGGATCAAAAGATATGTGTTCTCTCTCCATTGAATTCAATGTACATTTTTCGCTTCCGGGGTCCCATGGTCCGGAAGTAGATGGGCGTGACTTCGCCTCTCCATTGCCAAGGCTAGCAAGTCATGTGAGCCAATAGAATCACACCGGGGCGTTATGCACCATTTGCAATCCGCCAAAGAAGAAGCGTTATCTCCAGTGCAGTTCGCTTCGATGATTTTTTGCCCAGATTCTCTCAGATACTAATTACGATTGTTCAATGACTAAAGTGGGAACAAGAACACGGTTGTGTTTTTCCTCGTCGGAGTCGGATGGAATAGTTTGAAGGACTTCAAAAAGCCTCGGAAATCGGTCACGTGTTTCTGAACGGTAAGCTAAGCTAACTAGCTAATTAGCTAATTGAGAATCCACACTTATCACGTAATTTGGTTTTTAAATTCAAACGTGAAGTCATTACTCATGCATTATTATAATTACTAATATCATTATAGTATTTATGAATAATTATTGAAGCTACCCTAATATAAGCTAGCTATTAGCAGCTTTCACAGTAAATTCTCGTTCACATGTTCACTGGTCTTTGCTGCCCCCTAGTGGATGTTCATAATATATGATCTGTAAAACATACACAAAAGGTTGATTTTGTTTTTCCGTGATCGTTTTTGCCACTTTGCAACAGTACGTAAGGTGAAACAAAAAGAAGGAAAATGTTGTTGTCAGAAGTGGGATTCGAACCCACGCCTCCAGAGGAGACTGCGACCTGAACGCAGCGCCTTAGACCGCTCGGCCATCCTGACTGTAAGGTACTTCTTTCTCCAAATCGAATATAATTGATCAAAAAGTTAATAATAAGCCTACAGTATGTTGAAGTAGTATACATATTACCATGCTGATCAATACGACAGTCAGTTGATCTGAGAGAGTAATCAAGCTCGGATTTCAAGTGTAAACAGGTAGGATTAGCAGAAGGAATTCATATTTTCATACTTCATAATTAACTTTACAAATAGAAAGTGTCAGTACAACATCATGTGCAATGTCTCCCATCGTCCACCAGAGGGAGACACACACCATAAGATATTCCAAACACACCGACAGAGGAGAAATTAACTTGCTTTAAAGTTCCCTAATGGCGTCCCTCCCAGGAAACAGAACTCAATAATTCATAACAGGCTCTCGTACATTTCAATGAGCTTTTAATTAGGAGGGGCCCACAGTAATTGTCTCCGAGGCGGTCTAACAGGAGGACAAACACTCGGACAGATTGACAGTCCTCGTGGCAGATTGCAGCAAATCACCTAATTATAGGAAGAAGTCAAACCTTCGCACTCTAATGATGATTATCTTGGCTCTATTGGGTCATTTCACAAATCGACAGAGAGATAAAGGATAGGAGAGAGTGACAAATACCTCATCTTTGATTCTGATCTATCAGCACATTGCATTTCCATCACTCAGGCCACCAAATTGTAACGAAGAATTCAGTTTTCCCTAAGTATCTTAATATTTTGTTTACTGTAAATTGGTATTTCAAAATGTATATTTTCTAATGCTGATTTATTTCTATTTTGAGATATTTCAATTGTTTATTTCTCTTATGTGCAATTAGGGTTGCAAAATTCCGGGAATTTTCAAAGATGGAAACTTTCCACAGGAATTTATGGGACTAAACAGGGAATTTTCAAAATGGAAGGTTGGCTCTTCATAGGGAACTTAAATATAGTTGTGGAAAGTATATTTGAGCATAATCTTAACTAAAACAGATGCCATTCAAGTACACTTGAATATCCATGCCATAGCACCCTGCATGGCTATAGGCTTGTCACGATAATTAATTTAGTTGGACGATACATTTTTCTCAAAATTATTGCGATAAACGATAATATTGTTGGCACCGTTGTAAGACCATTTTAGACCACTGACATAATGATAATATATAATAATAATTCAAGTACATCGTTTCAAACATAACTTTTTATTGAACATTCAACATTGCAAATGAAATGTGAAATAATATTAAAATAAATAAATTATATAATAAATAAAACAAATTAATTAAATTATAATAAATAAATTAAATGACACAAAACCAAAACAATAAATTAAATAGTCAGGCTGGAAAACAGAGCTATCTATCTATTATATATAAATTAGGGCTGTCAGTCGATTAAAATAGTTAATCGCAAATTAATCGCACATTTCTGATCTGTTCTAAATGTACCTTAGAGGAATATTTTTCAAGTTTTTAATACTCTTATCAACATGTGAGTGGACAAATATGCTTTATGCTAATGTTTATTATCATTAGAACAATGACAAATATCCTCATGAATATTAAACACAACAACTTCTGTGTGTGTGTGTGTGTGTGTGTGTGTGTGTGTGTGTGTGTGTGTGTGTGTGTGTGTGTGTGTGTGTGTGTGTGTGTGTGTGTGTGTGTGTGTGTGTGTGTGTGTGTGTGTGTGTGTGTGTGTGTGTGTGTGTGTGTGATGGACATTGGAGCTATGTGCAACTCAAGGCATATGCTCGAACGGGAGCTGCCTGGACGCTGCAATCATGTTGCGCACACTATCCGTGCTGAGTGTGCTGACTTCTCGTACAATGTCCCACTGTCTGGCTTCCTGCATAAAGTCAAGTGCTCGGCGCAGTTGTGGCGAAATGTTTTCATTTAAACAGCTCCATATCCGTTAGCGCAGCTAGCTAGCACCAGATGCTAACAACAACAATGCACGTAAGGTCTCTCTCTCGCTCGCTCGGGCCACACATACACACACCCTCCCGGTCCTCCCAACAGCCAGTCGGTGCCTGCCGGTGAGCGTGGAAGTGTGGTCTGCCACAAGCGGGCGGCAGGAGCGGGGCTGTCAGCATCAGCTTGTTGATGGTATTTTAAACTCGATGCGCTCTGAAACTACGGGAGCGGCTGAGGAAAAAAAATACACATGCGTTAATCGCGTTAAAATAATTAGTGGTGTTATTTTTTTTTTGCGTTAAATTGACAGCCCTAATATAAATATGAGCACACATTATCTCACAAGCAAAAAAAACCTCCTTAAAACAACAGTCAAGTGTACAGTCCACTGTCAAAGACCCAGATGCCTCAACAGGCCATATCCAAATCTGTTTTTCAAAGTTTTCGAGCAAGGAACACCAACATGTCTGCATTGTCGGGCAAATGCATCTTTGATTGTAAACTGTCGGGAAGGTGGGGGCTCTCCATCTCCAGCCGCCGTGTTTGCTCCCAGCTGGGAAAACAGAATGGGGTGGTTGTGTTTTAGGTGTAGTTTAAAATGCGTGGTATTGCCTGCTTTTGTCGCTACCTTTTTTAAACAAATGCGACACACCGCCCGGCTCATTCAAGTCCGTTGGTTCGCCTCGTTGATTTGGCTTGAATCCAAAATACTGCCACACCGGAGAATCGAGATGTGTAGTTACTAGTTAGGTTTTGTAACCAAACCTGCCTTTAAATTCCCCGCGAGTAAGTCACATGTTGTCTCCCGTTTGTCGCTATATTATTAATTTGGCTGCTGCACGTGCACGCGGAGTGTCCTGACCTGGCTGTGTGTCAGCCCCGCCCCTCACAGCGCGCGTGGCCGGCAGCCACAGTGCGCCTGGCGGCCACAGCGCTCCTGGCGGCCACAGCGCTCCTGGCGGCCACAGCGCGCCTGGCGGCCACAGCGCTCCTGGCGGCCACAGCGCTCCTGGCGGCCACAGCGCTCCTGGCGGCCACAGCGCGCCTGGGCCCCCCGGCCACAGCGCTCCTGGCGGCCACAGCGCTCCTGGCGGCCACAGCGCTCCTGGCGGCCACAGCGCTCCTGGCGGCCACAGCGCTCCTGGCGGCCACAGCGCTCCTGGCGGCCACAGCGCTCCTGGCGGCCACAGCGCGCCTGGCGGCCACAGCGCTCCTGGCGGCCACAGCGCTCCTGGCGACCACAGCGCTCCTGGCGACCACAGCACTCCTGGCTAAAATGCTGTCACATCCTTATGTAAACGGAAATGTATCGAGCTCAGAAAAGTTATCGAGTCCATTTTTATTTATCGTACGATAAGTCAATTTATCGATTATCGCGACAGGCCTACATGGCTATTGAGACCACACAAAGGTTCACAACAGGCTCACCCATCAGAGACCGGCGGGATTGCTCCAGCCCCTTCCTATCCCAAGTCGACCCTGGTCACATATTGCACTGGACTTTGTCACTGGCCTACCTCCCTCACAAGGTAACACAACAATTGTTACAGTTGTTGACCGTTTCTCCAAATATGCCCATTTTGTAGCCCTGCCCAAGCTCCCCTCAGCCCTGGAGACCTCCCAACTTCTCACCCAGCATGTATTCCGTCTGCATGGAATCCCGGCTGACATCGTCTCTGACCGTGGCCCTCAATTCACCTCTCATGTTTGGAAGACTTTTTGTCATTCTCTTTGTGCATCGGTCAGTCTAACTTCTGGTTATCATCCCCAGTCTAACGGCCAAACTGAAAGGGCCAATCAGGACCTGGAATCTGCTCTCCGCTGCGTAGCCAACCGAAATCAGTCAACCTGGAGCTCCCATCTACCCTGGGAAGAGTATTTCCTCACTTCTTCAGCTACTGGTCTCTCTCCATTCGAAGCCTCCTTAGGGTACCAGCCACCCCTGTTTCCTGAAGAGTAGAGTGAGTTGGCAGTTCCATCCGTCCAGCAACATGTTCTTCTTTGCCGTAAGATCTTGGCGACACTCGCTCTGCTCTCCTTCGGACTTCCGCCAGAAACCAGCTGCCAACCGCCATAGACATGTCGCTCCCCCATATGCCCCTAGACAGTCTGTTTGGTTGTCTTCCAAAGATATCCCCCTCCTTACCGAGTCTAAGAAGTTGTCCCCTCGGTTTATTGACCCCTTCCCCATTGAGGGCATTATTAACCCCTCTGCTGTCCGCCTGAAGCTTCCCAGAACCATGAAGATCCATCCCACTTTTCACGTGTTCAGTTCACACCAGCGACCTGTGCCCTCCAACCGTTCCCCCTTCTAATAAATTCAAATAACTTCATATGTAATGCTTTTTGGACTTAATCTTTTAGTTTGTATTGTGTTACAGGAAACATAAAATGTGTGTGCATATGGTTATAACCTGAAGACACGATCATGTCAGCAGACTTATAACTGGGTCGGTTTAAAATGAGATTGCATCAGCCTTGGTCAACGTTTTATTCCCCTTGATCAAGAGTCGTTGGACAAGGACTAGTGTTTTAAGCATTTTTGATATTCCTTAATCAGTTATACTGGCAGGGATATCAAACCATGACTAACTTTGTTTCTGCCGATTAACTTTTTGTATTAGAAATAAAAAAGAAATTCTCTTTTACCTGAACAAAATGTACTTGCCAGTCTCTTTGGCTTCACTTTAATAAGTATAGAAATAAGAAGTCACATGATCATATACCTCATCTACGTGTGGCTGCCCCATTGGCAAATATGTGTATGGTTTTTACTTGATGTCTTTAAACCTTAATTTCTTCTTTAAACATTCATTGTATGTGTTTCTTAATAACCCTAATGAAGACCACAAGCCAGGCACTTTGGTCGATAACAATAAGTTGGTATTTATAACAAGGGTTGCCCGAGTTTTAAACTCTTTTCTATTCCTGTTGATTATACGCATACACCAATATTGAAAAATCTGTCATCAGCTAAAACGTGGACTATATCTAGCCACCAACCAAGTTCATCTTGATTACTCCTTTAAAACACAAGTAGTTCATGTTTAATATATTTAAAGAACATCAAATATGCTTGCTAAGGACCAAGTGTAACATTACATTGGATGGGATTTCATGTTTCACAATTTGACACCTGTTTTTGTCTTCCCACAGATACTTTGAAGCAAAGAAGTTGATATCATCCCACAGTTTCAAATGGAGCACACTTCTACTAGAATCACCCTACTCCTGGGACAGCTTTCACTTGAGCAAACTGACTATAAAGACATTCTGGAAGAATTATTTATGATAACACGGAAAACAAAAGGCACCACAGACTGGGATCCCAAATTGAATGCGGCGGTTTGCAAGGCGATTGCTCCTTTTGTGTCTCAAGACTACTCTGATGACATTCGAGCCGTCATTTATGACATATATAAACATGTACTTTCAGGTGGACATGTTGACACCACAATGTCATCAATAAGACACAAAGGGCCACACATCAGCAAAAGGTGGAAAGAACAATTAGAGAAGCTTGGGAGTACTGATGAAAGTGAAGTAACCAGAATTGGGAGCATGAAGTACGTGAATAAAGATGAATTCCGCATAGCAGTGGGAAATAATGGTACTGAAGTGTTTTTGGGGCTGAGAGATGATGGCACTGAAATTGCTATTAAGAAAGTGACAAGATGCAACTATGAAGTGCTGAAGAATGAGGAAGGATTTCTACGACTTCCAGGGCTTAAGCATCCATCCATTGTGAGATACATTGACCAATCGGAGGATGACAACTTTGGATATCTTGGTCTTGAACTGTGTGAATACACCTTGGAAGAATACATAAAAACTCTTGATGATATTCACTTGAGGAAGCAACTTGTCTTTGAAGTTCTCGACAGTTTAAGGGTGCTTCACTGTCGAGATCCTCCCATTCTCCACCGAGACCTCAAACCACAGAATGTTCTGATCGGTAAGATAATAATAATAATGGGTTCCATTTATAAAGCACTTCATATTTGATTTCAAATCCCGAAGTGCTACAAGTAGTGAGCATGAACAGTATAAATAAACATTACACAACACGGTAGAATTAATAAAAAGCAATATAAAAGTGTGATAAAAAGGTCTAGGCAAAGGCTCCTTTGAAGAGATGGGTTTTGAGGCCTTTTTTAAAAGCCTCCACGGTCTGTGGTGCTCTCATTTGGTCGGGGAGAGCGTTCCACAGATTGGGAGCAGCCGAGCAGAAGGCCCGGTCTCCCAAGTTCATTATACAATGAAATGATGGGGATAGGATTAGGAAACAATTATTATAATTCATAATTATCAAACATAATTGTATTGCTGAGTTTGTCCACCTGATTTGTCTTTCAGATATTAAAGGGAGGGCGCAATTGGCTGATTTTGGCATCAGTCGACGGTTACCCAAAGGACAAACAACTTACTGCACAGGGAAAGCAGGAACAAAAGGTTGGATGGCCAAGGAAACGTTATCAGAAGACGACGAAACCAAGATACCGTACAAGTCAAGCTCTGACATACAGGTCCGTTTTTCTGCTCAAGAAATGTGATCGGTAACCGTGGGTACAAACACTTTCTGAATTGCTTCAATGTTATGTTAATTCCTAAGGTGGCAGGGATGCTGATGTATTATATCCTCTCTGGAGGACGACATCCTTTTGGAGAAAAATCCTATGAACGTGAGAACAACATTGTAACAGGGAACTACACTTTGGACCATGTTCAAGACGTGTTGGCAAAAGACCTCATTGAGTGGATGATCGATGCAGAACCAAAGAACAGACCTAAAGTGGAAGAATGCTTGAATCATCCCTTCTTCTGGAAACATTACAGGTACAATCCCATCTATCATGGCCAATTGAATAAATGAACTGATTTTCTATTATGTGTATGTTTTACTGCATAGCGTTAACAAGACTTAAAGGTCCCATGTCATGCTTTTCCGGTTAGTACCCGTCCCCTTGTGTGTTATGAAGGTTTTTATGCATGTAAACGGTGTGCAGAGTCAAAACCCTCAAAGTACACCCTGTAGCGAGTAAAACTCTAACACAGAAAATACCTCCCCAAAACGCCTCGTTGGAGATACGTCACTGTCCATTGTTTACTTCCTGGGTATTGTGACGTAGGAATGGCCAGTAGCCGCGCCCAGAGCTATGACGCGATACGGTCATGCGGTACCCGGAACTAAATGGACCAATCCGTGGAGCCGTTACGTTTAGCCCCCGCTGATTGGTCCAAATTGACCAATCCACAGACTTCCTCACACACACACACTGCTGATCTCTCCTCCCTGGCTGCAGGCTGATAACAGACAGTTGGGATCGCGGCGGAATTCTCTCTGCAGACCCATTCTCTCTACAGACCCATTCTCTCTGCAGACCCATTCTCTCTGCAGACCCATTCTCTCTGCGTTTATCAACCTTTTTCTTACTCAATATCAAGCCACACTTATTGTTTTACTCGGCTGTGACTTTGTGTGTGCTCAGGTTGAGTTTGGCTGTGTATCGCTAAACAA